GCTGCCCTGGATCCTCCACGGCCCCTCGCCGTCCCCTTCAGCCCTCTGCCCGCGTCTTGCCGCTGCGGCTGGGGGCTGTCCTCTGTCCCGGGCCGCTCTGTGGGCTTGCCAGCGCTGGGAGCTGCTGGGAAGGGACGTGGGAGGTGGACGGAGCAGTGGGGATGGGGGAGCAAACTCCGTCAAGGCACTTAAACGGTGGCTGCTTCAGGGCAGAGACGGTGGCGCTTATTTTTTTTGGGGGGGGGGAGGGGAGTTAAGGACTAGAAAATAGGGAAGAGGAAAGTCCATCTGGAGTGGGGACAGGGACGGCCGGCATCCAGAGGACCTGTTCCTACCCTGGCCCAGATTTCCTTTCCTTCTGCAACTGCCTCTGCCCCGGTCTACTCTGCTCCATTCGTGTGGACCTGCTCCCTCTCCCTCCACAGGAAAACGGCAGAATAAAGACCCTCCCTGGATTTGAGGTGTAAAAAAGACAGAAATCCCTGAATATTGTCACGTATATTAATGTAGTGCCTATCGTCTCTGCCAGGAACCCTGTACCCCCACTTTATTCATAGCTCTGTGAACAGAGAACAAAGCAGAGACCACTTCCCCCAAAGAGTTCTCAATCTGAAGCCGTCTGAGAGCAGGATTCAGCCTAACCTGTGGCCATTTTTCTCCCATTGTCTTGCTGATGCCCTCTGTCGTATCTGTGTTCTGCTTTTCTGGTTATAGCTATGCCAGGACAGGTGTCAAAACACAGGTGGTGTATTTCCTCCTCATCACTTCTTGCTGCTGGACCGAAGGGTGCCTATGCTGACAAAGCATCATTAGCATTTAGAATTTATCACTCCTGGCCAGCCAAGAAATTATCAAAGAGGGAATCCCCCTTCCAGGCTGGGATGAAAAGAAAGAGTGATCTATTTGTGGTAAGATTTTGTTGTAGTAGCTACTGAACTATATGAATTACAGTGGCATTTTTTCTGGGAATGCAGCAGGTAAAATAATAGATACATAATATCTGATAGCAGGAAAAGAACATACGTCCTAGCTTTACTTTCTGATATAGAATCCTAATTAATTATCTATTTATTCCTGTGCTCAAAGAGACCCTGCAAGGAGAGTTCCAGAGGAAGCTTTACAAGGAGCTGCTGAAAAATTACAACCCTCTGGAGCGACCAGTTGCAAATGATTCCCAGCCGCTCACTGTCCATTTCACTCTCAGCCTCATGCAGATCATGGACGTGGTGAGTCTATAACCTTCTAGGAAACTGGTTCTTTAAAAGGGTGGATTTTTCCTTCCTAGAATGGAGATTTGTGATAGCGAAGGAAGACTGCAAGATATTGGAAAGCACAAATAATTCCAGACACAATGTCAAATTTTGACTGCCTTTTTAAAGAAGTAAACTTAAAAGTAAAGTTTGCCTCTTCCTCAGATCTCTTGTCAGTATTTCCCAAACTTCTTAGTATGAAATATTTAAAGTGAAGCTCAAGCTGCATACTTTGAATCCTTAACTGTACTTAGAACCAACAAGAAGTGTAGTCTGGTAGGGGGGATATGCAAAACTAAAGCTGTTGATTTCTGGTGGTGCCTAAAGAGCTTCTTATTTTTGGAGATGGGGGGGGGGGGGGGGGGGAGGGGGGCCCCTGGGCAAAACCCAAGTTATATTATTTAGATAAGATTGTTACATTCTATATGCTTGAATTTTAGCTGCTCTATTTGCAACCACAGTTGTTTGCTATATCAGTAGATACTCCCATGCAGTCCTTGGCAGGCTTGTAAAATGCACTGTAGGATCTTTTGGGTTCAAATACGAGTAATTCAAGCTTCACTCTGTCACAGTGGCACAGAGATCAAACTCTACATATAAGTGGATTTACAGTATTCATTTTTACTGAATTCAGCTAGCTATGGCCACTAGTAAAGAAGTTAATTACTTAAAATTAGTACTTAACCTCAAAATGCCATTATCTTTCCTTCAGATGCTTGAAGTTTGAGACACAACAAAATAAAAAAAAAAAAGAAAGATGGGATTATTCTTGACAAGTGGCTTGCTTTCTGTTCTCTTACAAGCTGTCGATTGCCAAAATCCAGACACTGTTCATTTACTATCTGAAGGTCAGCACGCACACACAGAGAACTCTGCAGGTTTAACTGCTCATAGTTTCTATGCTGGTTTTTGCAAGTTTTAGTTTTATTAGACCTAAGGTGAAAACTAGGATGTGTATTTCCAGTGTGATACTTAGTATTTGTTAAAGTGAGAGTAGGCAGTCATAGTCAGTGAACTGTTTTCAGTGTCAGCGCCACTAAAGCCAACAGGCAAAATATGTCAGTTCTATCCTTGTCTACAGCAGTTGAGTTTTAATATGTGTGATATCAACGAGCAGAACAGAAGCTATATGGAGTCATAAATTCTTTGAATGATGGTGAGGGAAGAATATGTGTTATGCAGAGTGCAACAATTTCAAATGGTGCTGGCAGGTTGAACTCGATGCAGACTTTGGCTGTACTGCACGGCCACCTGAGAGCTAGGAGAGGACAGCCAGGTATTAGACCAAAACCTTGATGTGAGATAAAAGCCTGTACCAGTGGGCTGATACAGCAGATGACAGTAACATCCCACTAACTGTATGTGGGCGTGCTTTTGTTATTAATGATGTTTATTATGGGTGGGCTTAAGAGATTTTGAAAAAAGGGGATCTCCTTGCGCTGAACAAGAGACAATCAGAGACAACAGAAGAAGCGTAATAGTGAGGAACAACACAAAAGGAATAAATGATACTGTGTTACTAAGGGATGTATTAATTTCATGATTCATCTTCTAACTGGATTCCTTTAGAATGTGTCAAGGTAACACAAAGAGGCATTCAAAGGGCAGTGGGAGTCATGAGGACAGGGCAGGTCAGAGGAAAGTAAGAGGCTGAAGTGAAGGGAATGAAGGGCCGCATGGGACAGCAGTGCTTCAAAGGGCTGAATGCCTGAAGGTCCCCATCTGGGTTACTGCTGCAGTTATTCTCGCTGGCTCAAACCTTCATGGGTCTCTTGCCATGTACAGCAGGGAATGTGGAGGAGGGCAGAAACAACCACTCGGTTCACGTGGCCCCGTATCATCTGTGTGATGGAGCTTTGGTCTAGCTCCTCTTTCCAGTGTATCAGGCCCCTTAGTGGCTTCTGCAGCAGCTCCTACTGGCTGGAGTCTTCAGTTGTAGCTCTACGTTCTCTGTATTTCTGGTTTTAGGTATATTTTTGTCTTTGATAGTAATAGGCCAATATGTCCAGGAAAGCTTAGCCAGTCTGTTCAAGGCCTGTTCAAACTGAGCACCCGGGCAAAACTCCACATTTTAACGTATCTCTGCAGAGCTCGGTATAATACATCGTGCCTCAACTGAATCTTAAACCAGGCTTCAATAAAACCGCTTCCCAACCATCGACTTAGTTTACACTAGGCCACCTTCTGTAGCTCCCTTTTGGGAAATGATCTCCTGCTGCAGTATGTGCCTTCTCACAGCTACTGGAGGAGCTTTTGCTTTGGTACAGGACAGTACAGTCCCCTTCAAAGGATTTTTGTACAACTCTTTTTGTACAACTGTGTGTTCAGGAAACATTTCTCTAGTGCTTTATTTTGATAACCAGGATAAAAACCCTGATGCTGTAGGGTTTTTGTTGTTTGGTTGGTTTTGTTACTGTTAACATTACGCTACATACAATTCATTTCAGAATTATTTCAGAACAGGAGCGCTCGAAAAAGCACTTTGATCCAAAATAAAACAGGGCTCTGAACAGACCAGTTTTTCCCCCAGCTTTCAGAAACTGCAGTTCTGGTGTCATTCTATATAGACACATTTGGCCTGAATATGTTAGGCTAACATGCTTTCAAGTATTAACCACCCTGGGTTTGTTGTATGGCCAAACCCTCCTAGCGATGACACAGCTTACAGAAGCCTTCTTTATGTCATCAAAACCGTTTCCTGAATAGAATAAGCTGAATGCAGATGGGACTTTTTTCCTTCTTACATTGCATCTACACTGTAAAGGTTTCCTTTGCATTTCTACGAGTTAATACTGGGGCTGTCTCTTCCCCACACTCCCAACATGGCTATAACCATGGCCTTGACTACTGTATGAACAGTTGGCTGTTGGAGACACAAATGGCTAAAGGCCAGCACGCAGTCAACTTCACAGAATTAATTTCTTCTGGAGTTGTCAAGTTTAATTAAAAACCATACAAACTGAAGGGCAAATATCCACAGATCACTTGCCAGTCTGGGTATAGTCAATGACTGGCAGTCTTGGCTAATATGATTCAAAAGGGAGTTTTTGATCCTATGTGCCTTTCAAAAACAACCCTGCAAAATCAGTAAGAAGCCATAGTTTTTGTACTGGCAGTTTAGTTACAGCTCATTCTGCTTGCTATAAAACTGACTGCATTTCTTTCTCAGAAATCTGGGATTGACAGGCAAAGAAAGAAACCAACCATGAAGTAAATTAAGCTTCACACTATAAAACAAATGAGTTTTCTTCATTGTCAACAAGAAGCAAATGCTGGTGGGAATGACAGCTACTTGCAATAACAATTACTGGTTTAACAAGCTAGAAACAAAACATGTCACCATCATGCTTTCCTCGAGTTTATATATTCACTTTAATGGCTTCTCGGCTGATACCAGCTGTACTGGGAGTTAGACCTATCCAGAGCAGATCCATGAAATCCCTGCCAGAACAGATTGAGCCAGGCTGGACCCTGGCTGCTGCTATTCCTTACTTGAAGTCTCTTCCATTCCACTCTGACTTTGCTGATAGGAGAGGGGGGCCAATATATGAAACCTTTTCCAAATACAGTGGATGTTTCCTACCTTACATTTTTAGTTTAGGTTAACCCTTTCCTTCTAAAACTAGCAATTATTTCTACCCTATGCTTGCAGATGTGTTTTTTTTTTCATTGGTATTGCATATTAATATGCATGCTAGCATCAGGACTACATAATGAGGGACCTGTAAGTGCTGATTGCCTGAATTTAGTTTAGTTCACAAGGAAATAGAGTTAATGAACTGCCTAGTGAGAATGCAAGACAGCATAGTAAATTATACAAAGTGTTGCTAAATGGGAAGCGAAACAGTGGCAGCATGAGAAAAATGCAGGTTAGGGACACATGAATGAAGAGGAGAGCTAGGAAACTGGGGGAGTGCTTAGAGAAGAGGGAATGTATGGTAGACCTGAAAGACAGCAAAGGAGTTTGGAAGAAAGGTAGAATTTAGGTGGAAGAGGATGGGGGGCAAAATGGAAAGAAGGAGGTTTGAAAGGAGCGGGCTTAAAAAAAGCTTCTGTGTCAAGTTAATAAGAACTTTAACAAGAGAGAGATCCTAGGTATCTTTCAGTTTGCTTTATTCCTGTATTCCTTAATAGAAAAAAACACTGCTCTTAAACCTTTGCAAACATCTTGTAATTATATCATCCTGAAGTGAAAACAAAGTGGAAACAGCTAACTGGCCAGAAGTGCTCTTCAAGGACATTTGAGTTATTAGAATATCAGAAGATGGAATAAGAGGTTTCTTTTGCTTTTCATAATTATTTGTTTCAATTTTCTTGAAATGAGAAATGCCAAGCAATTTGACGAAAGAAGTGAAAAATAACCTACTTCCTCTCTGATTTGCTGAAATCTTGTTTCAAAACGCCTTACAGGAAAGCAATGTATGTTGAACAAAGCCTGATAATAAACATCTCTTTGGATCTGAATCAAAGAATGTTTGGAAGTATCTGACTTAAGAAAACTAAGCAAAATTTAAGAATAAGCACAGAAAGAAAATCTTAAACACTAAGGGTATCTGCATACCTTAGTGGCAGGAGAGGAAGAAGGGTTAATTGATGGTCATAGTTGATCAAGGTCATAGCTTCAGTACAATGTCAAAAAAATAAGGAACATGATGTAGAGAAGCTAATTTTTCTCTACATCTCACCTCATGGATATCCCATTACCTGAACAAAAAGCTAGTCTTTGGCCTCTGCCTGTCTAGTATTTCAGTGTTGGCATGGAGTATGAACCTAACTTACGCTTAGGAAGAACTTCCAGCATATGCATTTTTGAGAAGCAGATTCTTGAAATACACTGATGTAATTTCCACACTGGATAAAATTACAGCCACCACTTTTTTAAACACTAATGGAGGCAAATACCTTCTAACATCCTTATTTTTTCTTGTAACATCCATCCCAATAATAGCATCAGAGGAGAATATTCAGCCACTACC